TATTTTAGATCAGCTGAAAGGCAATCCTAATATATTAGGAGTTTACCAATCCTATATTTTTAGACGCGTAACGCGTTTTTCGAAAACTTTTTTTGTATTGACACACATTGCAACATCCCGTACGCCGCATATAAGAAATTTTGTTCTTTTTTTCCCTAGAAACCATATTGAGAGTATTCTCATCAAATCCCCAAAGTTTCATGTCAAACCGCATCCGACTTTTATTTTATATATCATAAAAAGAGGGTCTCCCTTGCGAATTTGAAAGTTTTTAACTTTTTTACGTCATGTCAATCTGATGAAAGTGTTTTAATGCATTAAAGACACACACACACACATACACACACACATACAGAGTATTTTCAGAACGCGATAAGCGCCATTTAAAAAAAAAATTAGATAACGCGCCCATGTAAAGCTACTCAGAATAAATATTTAGGAAAACTTATGATTACCTTCACGGCGCAGTATTTCCATTTTATTTCTATTTTGAAAAAAAAAATGGTTTCAAAATGCGGCATTTTCGACAGGATTGACATTAATGAACTTCATGGATGTATAAATTAAGTTTTAACTACTATAATAAACAATAGTAAACCACCACTGCCTATATTAAAAAAAATTGTGTACCGGGGGTCATTTCACTTTGTAGCAAAATTGAGACAAGTGTAACGAAGTGTTACTCAAGCTGTCAGGTAACAAAATAATGGCATTTTATTAGTCACAAAATATTCGTGACCAATCAACAAAAGATAGTTTTATACTTTCCAGATACCAGCACCTCTAAACAGACCAGGCCTCTCTCAACAGCAGAAACTTACCATACAAGAGACCAGCATACCTCAACAGACCATTCGTAACACACAAAAGACCAAACTCACATAACAGACCAGCGTCTCTCAAAAGACTATTCTTACCATACAAAAAGAATAAATTTAACATACAAACATCAGCCTCTCTCAACTCACCAGCCTCTTTCAACAGAACAGTCCTACCATACAAGGAAACCAGCATCTAGTCAGATCTATTCAGCAACCCTGATGCTACTATCTACTTTAAAGTGAATTAGCAGATAGCTGGCAGTTGCTAAACGGATCGTAACATTATGATCTCAACGGTAGCCCCTGACCAGTTGTAGAAGAGCAGAAAAAAGATAATAGCTGTCATATTATATGAGCACATAAAAGCAAGACATAAATACACATTTTACCTGATTTTAAAACATGCCATTTTAATGTTTCTTCATAGGAAGTTTATTCACATTTAATTATGGTTGCATTTCAGCCGATCCTACACTATTCTCAACGACAATGTCGAGTTCTCATCGACAGTGTCCGTATAGAAGAAAGCTATACATTTTTTCTCATTTGATTCTGTCGTTGAGACTATAGTTATAAACTGTACAAACTAGCTAACGGAATAAAAACATGTTGATTTAAAAATTTAATATAAGAAAAATTAAACAACCATTCATTTTACAGAGCTAATAATCATTAATATTATAAAAACGTATCTTCGGTCTTAAAAATTGAGAATTAAATTATTTTTAGCAATATAAATTAATACAGTGGGTTGCTGAGTTTAATTGTGATAAGATCGGCCTTGACGATGGTTAAAAAATACAACTATAAATTTTAAAAAATTGGTCCCTATCCCCTCCCCCATCCGCCACAGTACACTTTGGAGTACGTGTCTTCTATTTAGCTATCAAAGGGGGGGGGGGGGCAACGAGTCAATTAAATTCAAAATTTAAAAAAAAAATTAATTATGGTCAGCCGTGGGCCCCTAAACGGCCTCCCCCCCCCCCCGAATTGCGGGATCTGGCGGCACTGTAGTTACGCCCCTGTATAGATCTTTTGGTTCTTTTAAGGCTTTAAAGCTAGATCATTGTATCATAAATTTTTTAAACTTTAATGTATTTAGTGTTAATAACTAATGTTCAATTAATACGTGTACTAATTATAAAACGATTAATAATATAAAGACGAGTCTTACCTTCCTTGTGTGAATTAGATTCGTCAAAAAAATACTTCATCAGGTGTATGAACAACAACTGACTAGTGTCTTTAACAAAATGTACAGAAGTGGTCAGTTTACAGTTCAGTAGTTCATAAACGGTTCGTTAATCTATGCATTACATCTTATTGTAAGAGTAAAGGTGTGGTGAGGGGTAGAGGTGAGAGTAGGGGTGAGGGGGGGGGGGGAGGGGAGAGAGTTGGGAAGGTTCAAGGGAAGGAGACAAGAAAGCGCCGATGAACATCTACATTAATAGTGCCGACTTTTTCCGGTCGTCTAGAACAGGGATCTCCAAACTACGGCCCGCGGGCCAGATGCGATCCGCGATGTCCTCTCATCCGGCCCGCGGAGATCTTTTTGTCCACGGAAAAAGCGTTTGTTGGTGATGGCTGAGGAACTTTGACCAGAAAAATCAAAGACATTTCTAGAAGAAACTGGCCCCCGAGCTGAAAATTGATAGTTAATGCGGCCATCGGACTGAAATGTTTGGAGACCCCTGGTCTAGAAGGCCAGGATAGTCGCCGCAACATTTCCCCAGCCCGATTTCAAAGCGTGCCGGCACAGTCAAATTTCAGATGCTTCGCTGAAAGGAGATAACTTAAACTTTTACAAATTTATTGATACAGTTTGTTAAAGTTAAAGTAAAAATGAACGCAATTATAAATGATCAAAATAAATAATTATATTTTTTTGTAGAATTCAGGCCAGTAGTTTAAATACACAATCATAGATATGTATTTAATACTGTAAACAATATAACAATGCTTTTTTGTTCTCTTAATCGACGCCACTAAAAAGAACGGTTGTCTATATGTCTGGCGGTCTCTCAAGCTATAGTCTGTGAATTTTTCTTAAAGACGTTCGCCGACTATCGTGTTTGTTTGTAACTATAGAAGAAAGATAACTCGACCTCCACCCAATTATTTTTTTTTTTCAAATATTTTTTTAAATAATTTAGACATGATTTTTTGGGCCCTCAATCGGTCTGCCCACCCCCCCCCCCCCGCATTGCGGGGTCTGGCGGCACTGTAGTTCCGCCCCTGCATATTCAACATGCAGAGGTTGATGATATTTTTTTCTATTGTGTTGATTTTGCTTGGCAATTTATATGCGACTTCATTTGATGCTTCCACTAATGCACGGGTTCCCAACCTGGGGGTCGCGACACCCCTGGGGGTCGCGAAGGTCTTTCTGGGGGGGGGGGGGGGGTCGCCAACTGGTATACTAAACATTAGTAATTTGAAACAAAACATAAATATTTAGAAGAATTTTTTAAATTCGGCTTCATTAACATATCTGGAAATGCAATAGAGAAGAAACAAAGCGCACTGTACAAAGTTGTTCTCAGTCAGGCATCTATGAAATCTTCAAAACTAAAACGTCATTTGAGACGAGTCATTCGGAACACACAAAAAATATATGGAGTTCTTTCGTCGGTAAGAAGCTAGTTGCAAACGCCAGAGACTTGATCGAACAGGAAATTTTCACCAGCATTAGTACAAGCATCAAATGAAGTCGCGATAGAAAATGCCAAGCAAAAAAAAAAAAAAAAAAAAAAAAAAAAACAATAGGAGAAAATCTCATCAAACGCTGCATGTACGTAAATGTTAAATAACACTTTTTTTATTGAAATTAAGCTTCCACCATTGTTTGCTTTTCAAGTTGATAAATCAACAGACGTGAGTTCGTGTTGGCAGTTGCTGGTCTGTGTCTATATTCATGCGGATGATAGCAAAGAAGAGTTGCTATTTTGTGGAGATAGCATCGAGAAAATAAATACGTTTTTCTTTAAACGGGATGATTAAAATGGGTTAGAATGGCTTTGGGGGTTTGTACGGATGGTGCGCCATCTATGTTTAGCTCAAAATCGGGCTTTCATAAAACAGAAAAGATTTAGCTCCCTAACCACTGCCCTAACCAATCGACATCAAGAGTCCATTGCTAGTATTAGTATAAGTCGTAAATTATAGAAAATTTGGAGCTTTCAAAGAACTGAGCAAAAACATTAATATAGATCACGAGGTTCTGCTCTTCTACACTACAGTACGCTGGCTGTCAAACGAAATGTTGTAAATTGTGTTTTTGAATTGAAATCTGAAATCAAATTGTTCTTGGAAGTGCAAAGGAAACAAGACTTTTTGGTATACTTAAAACGACATAGAGTGGTTGGAGAGAGTATCATACCTAGTAGATGTGTTCGAACATCAAGATAAGCTTAACCTGAAGATTCATGGAAAATGAACGAATATTATAACTTTCCATGATAATCTCGGGGCATTTTTATCAAAGCTGCAAAATCTGTAAAGAAAATAAATCTTGGAAACATTGTAAATTTGAGAAACTCTGCGGTGTGGTAGATGAATCTGATTGTGAGATAATTAAAAACTTGAAAGAAGCGATTTCTGGGCATCTTGAATCTCTTGAAAACGAACTGCATCGCTATTTCTCTGAGCTGAAAAAAAGAAGAATCTGCATTTACGCATTACCCATTATCTTCCCTTGATCTTGCCAGCATTCTCGATGAATTACAAGATGAATTCTTTGATTTGCAGAATGATTCCGAGTAAGATGAAAAACTGCAGACACAATTTTGGTGTAGTATTCACCATTCATACCCAAACGTAAAATTGATTGACTTTTTGAGAATATATTTTCAACACTATTCTTCGATTAAAAACAAAATTAAGATAATTATAATGACATAGGTTGGCGTTAACAAAACATTTTTAAAATTAAAAACTTAACCACGAAGGTTTAGTGAATAGTATGCAATTTTACTCATGCTATAATTTAAAACAGTTATCAAGAGTAGTTCAAATTGAAAGTCTACTAGAAAATCTTATTTTAGTGTTTATTACTTTCCATACTAATCTCGGCTTTTTAATTCTATGGGGGTCGCGGGTCACTTTTTATAAAAGGGGGTCGCCACTCGAAAAAGGTTGGGAACCACTGCACTAATGCTGTTTCCTATGTGAAAACTTCCTGTTCCATCAAGTCTCAGACTTGCTTCATGCCGACGAAATAACTCCATATCTTTTTGGTGTGTTCCAAATGACTCGTATCAAAATGACGTTTAAGTTTTGAAAGTTTCATAAACTCATGGTTGACAACAACTTTTGCAGTATGCATTGTTTTTTTTCTATTTCATTTCCTGTGATGTTAGTAAAGCCGAATTTCAGATATTCTTCTAAATATTTATTGTTTATTTCATTGCTAGGTTGTAGTCTACCAGTTCGCGATCGCCCAGAAAGGCCTTCGCGACCCCCATGGGAGGTTGAAATTTTATATTTCAAGTCAAGAAATAATGAGAAACATATTGTTATTGTTATGTTTAAGATCTTAAAAAAATAGAACTGCACTATCAAAATGGCAGGTGGAAAGTTTTCCTTAAAGACAATGGAAAGTTTCCTCTCTGGAGAACACCATCCTTTTTAAAGTAAATTTATATAAAAGAAACAGAACTTAAATGTAAATAATAAAAAAAATCAGTATGTAAAAAACACATTTTAGCTGTATCATGTACTTTTGTAACAATCTGTTTATTTGAATCTCAAATATAGTAAATCAACAATCATGCACAAATGGTAGTAATTGAAAACAAACAGTGATTAGTGATTAAGGATCACTGGAACAATAATTTCAATAGATACTTGTAATATATAAGTTTTATTGTTTAAAAAAAATAGATATCAATTTATCTAAATATTAAACAACAGTAGGCCTATATTAATAATTTGTTTTATTAAACTCTTTTAAAAAGTGAGTTCCAAATTACCAAACTACTTTAATTTAAATTATCAGTCTGAGATGAGAAATTTTCAGCCCAAAACAGAATAAGTGTTCAGTAACTGTAGAACAAGATGAGATTAATGTCCTTAAGATTTTAAAAGTTTTATGTTTGTCTCGTTCTAAACATTTTTGTTTTATAATGGACAACATTTAAATGCTTCATTCTTACAAAATAATTATCACATTTTATTCCATGACTGACAAGATCCAACAAGACAAAAAAAAATATTTAAATGTGTATAACTATAACTATACAGGATATTTTTTAATGCATAGAAAATATTTTAAAAGATTAATTTTGATTATACAACATAATAAGGCCTGAAGAATAACTTGAAAATGTCCCATGTACCTGTGGGCATAATATTTCTAAGTATAAATGGTGCAAAAGTACTGTCAACTAAAAGCTTATTCTCTCATGATTTATTTTATTGAACACAGTTTGTCATCAACATTATCAATGTTGAATTTTAAAAACTCCATTTACAAAGGTTTTTTTACAAGTCTTTAGTAGTAGGTATAGTATCAGAAATTATAGGCATATTTTAACATTTTCAAAAGTTAATAAAACAAATATAAAAAACCTTTATCATAATAAGCTATTAAATGCACTGCAAAAAATAAAAAAACTTTTCATTAAAACATTGGTTGCTCTTGAGATTTATTACATATTTTAGTGACCAGTGTATTTATTGTATAATATACAAAAAAATCCAACAAATTTAGCCTACATGAACTAGATCTAATATTTGATCCTACTGAGTCAGGTGATCACCATCTTTAAAATTGTTTTATATTAAATCCAATCCCTTGGATTTTTTAAGACTTCTGTGAGTCTTGCTTCTTCTGATCCTGGTTCAGGTATGTGCATATACTTCCATCTCTGAATTTTTTAAGGAAAAACAAAATAAAATTTTATTAGTAAAGCTTCACCATTACAGCTTTTCCATTTTCTGATTCCCTCCCCTCATTCCACAATGGCTTTGACAGGTCAGTAGATACAGCCTTGCTGTCTAAAATCTATGTCAAAATACTATAATCTGAAATTGTATTTACAAATGCTACCATACAGCAGAGGGAGAAGGCTGCTTCAAGCTTAAAATCTCAAGCTGTCAAGCAACACAATTATATTATTTCAGTATTCACAAAAATATCATTTAACTAAACAAATAAAGATCAGTTTAATCAGACCATACAATTGATCAGCCTCTCTCAACTGACCAGTCTTGTCATACAAGAGATAAATCTCTCTCAAGTGACCAGTCATACCATACATGAGATCAGCCTCTCTCAACTGACCAATCGGACTAGTCTTACTATAGAACAGACCAGCCTCTATCAACAGACCAGCTTCTCTTAACAGACCAGTCTGGCCTTTCAAGAATTCAATGCGACCGACACTGCAACTACAAAACTGATAACTTAAAATCATAAACATAACAAAATTACATTCCTTGGACAAAACGAATGGACATGGCTGAGACCAAAAATCTCAGTGCAAAATGGTTTAGCCTGTGCGCGCAAAAAAGACAGTTTGGCAGTGAGAGTTTTAGACCAAGCAAACTCGCTGTCTTTTAAAACCTGCTATAATTTTGTAAAACTCATTTTATAACATTACAGGATAATCGGTAGAGTTTCTTCGCACATATACATAAAATGATTTTTAATTAGAGCGATCGAGAATGAAATAACCAGTATTTTTATCTCTACTGTAAAATTTATATTTGTGGAGTTAGACTGTTTCAACTGAGATCATCAATATGTATATTTATATGTGTATATATACATGTGTGTATATATGAGTGTATATAATTATATATACATGTGTGTATATATATGTATGTAGATGTGTAAGTATATATATATGAATGTATATGTGTAAGTATATATATACATAATATGGTAGAGGCCCTGTGTGTTTATAAATGTGTATATATGTGTATGTATATAAATATATGTAATATGAGCGGGCTGGTAGTGTAGAGTGTCAGTCCTTCCTTCAGATTGCTATAGATTTTGGAAAACTGCAACATGCAGTGCTTTTCAGTGCATTGCAGTGTTGAATTAAAAGTAATTGAGTAGGGTTTGTTTATATAAAGACTTAAATTTATTTTATAGTTGCCACTGTTTTTTTTACTCTTTCACATAACATAAAGAAAATATTAAATACACGCACATTGCTAAAACATGTTAAAAGCATCAATATCAAATATCCTTTTTGTCTAGATTCCTAGAAAAAGTGGGTACATTTTAATAATAATAGGGTAAAAAAAAAACCAATAAGTATAATAGGGTAAAAAAAAATAATTAGTTAAACTGTTTTGTACTTTTTCAAGTGAGGTAATTTTAAAATAAATTCAGCTCACTCTAATAAAATAAATGTGAATGCAAATTCTGCGGACCTCCATGAGTGAATTATTGTTGCAGTAATATAATTAGCAAAATGTGAATGCACATTTTTGAGTGTTCTTTTGTGTTTGTGTGTTGCATTATATATATACACACACACACACACACACATATATATATATATATATATATATATATATATGTATGTATGTATGTATATATATAGGTACTCCAAACAGATAATACAAACCAATCATACAGCAATGGTTTTTGTTTTAATGTGTAGTACTAACTATTTTAAGGATTTGGATGCCAAATTTATTTCTGTAGGACAATTAGGAAGAATGTTATGTGATTTTGAAGTCGGACATTTTTTTTTTACCTTTTTCTGTCCAATGAGGTGCCAACTTTACAATACCTTATCTTTGAAACTATAAATGATATAATGGTCATATACCTTAAGTCTGATAATAGCATACACAGACTGGGGGAGGCAGGGGGGGGGGGGTAGTGTCGAATTCACAATTTATGAATTGTTGATAAGTAGAAAATAAAACAACTAGATAGCGGCGTATGCTATGTCGCGGGTCAGCTCGTAAGGTATATTAAAATAAAAGTATATTGCGGTTTCACACAGTTCATCCGATCGCCATGAAACTTTGGGGAGTTGATTAGAACACTCCAGGTGAGGTTTCTGTAAAAAACATCCTTTTTAATTTCGCATGGGATGGCATGATAATCTCGGGGCATTTTTATCAAAGCTGCAAAATCTGTAAAGAAAATAAATCTTGGAAACATTGTAAATTTGAGAAACTCTGCGGTGTGGTAGATGAATCTGATTGTGAGATAATTAAAAACTTGAAAGAAGCGATTTCTGGGCATCTTGAATCTCTTGAAAACGAACTGCATCGCTATTTCTCTGAGCTGAAAAAAAGAAGAATCTACATTTACGCATTACCCATTATCTTCCCTTGATGTTGCCAGCATTCCCGATGAATTACAAGATGAATTCTTTGATTTGCAGAATGATTCCGAGTAAGATGAAAAACTGCAGACACAATTTTGGTGTAGTATTCACCATTCATACCCAAACGTAAAATTGATTGACTTTTTGAGAATATATTTTCAACACTATTCTTCGATTAAAAACAAAATTAAGATAATTATAATGACATAGGTTGGCGTTAACAAAACATTTTTAAAATTAAAAACTTAACCACGAAGGTTTAGTGAATAGTATGCAATTTTACTCATGCTATAATTTAAAACAGTTATCAAGAGTAGTTCAAATTGAAAGTCTACTAGAAAATCTTATTTTAGTGTTTATTACTTTCCATACTAATCTCGGCTTTTTAATTCTATGGGGGTCGCGGGTCACTTTTTATAAAAGGGGGTCGCCACTCGAAAAAGGTTGGGAACCACTGCACTAATGCTGTTTCCTATGTGAAAACTTCCTGTTCCATCAAGTCTCAGACTTGCTTCATGCCGACGAAATAACTCCATATCTTTCTGGTGTGTTCCAAATGACTCGTATCAAAATGACGTTTAAGTTTTGAAAGTTTCATAAACTCATGGTTGACAACAACTTTTGCAGTATGCATTGTTTTTTTTCTATTTCATTTCCTGTGATGTTAGTAAAGCCGAATTTCAGATATTCTTCTAAATATTTATTGTTTATTTCATTGCTAGGTTGTAGTCTACCAGTTCGCGATCGCCCAGAAAGGCCTTCGCGACCCCCATGGGAGGTTGAAATTTTATATTTCAAGTCAAGAAATAATGAGAAACATATTGTTATTGTTATGTTTAAGATCTTAAAAAAATAGAACTGCACTATCAAAATGGCAGGTGGAAAGTTTTCCTTAAAGACAATGGAAAGTTTCCTCTCTGGAGAACACCATCCTTTTTAAAGTAAATTTATATAAAAGAAACAGAACTTAAATGTAAATAATAAAAAAAATCAGTATGTAAAAAACACATTTTAGCTGTATCATGTACTTTTGTAACAATCTGTTTATTTGAATCTCAAATATAGTAAATCAACAATCATGCACAAATGGTAGTAATTGAAAACAAACAGTGATTAGTGATTAAGGATCACTGGAACAATAATTTCAATAGATACTTGTAATATATAAGTTTTATTGTTTAAAAAAAATAGATATCAATTTATCTAAATATTAAACAACAGTAGGCCTATATTAATAATTTGTTTTATTAAACTCTTTTAAAAAGTGAGTTCCAAATTACCAAACTACTTTAATTTAAATTATCAGTCTGAGATGAGAAATTTTCAGCCCAAAACAGAATAAGTGTTCAGTAACTGTAGAACAAGATGAGATTAATGTCCTTAAGATTTTAAAAGTTTTATGTTTGTCTCGTTCTAAACATTTTTGTTTTATAATGGACAACATTTAAATGCTTCATTCTTACAAAATAATTATCACATTTTATTCCATGACTGACAAGATCCAACAAGACAAAAAAAAAATATTTAAATGTGTATAACTATAACTATACAGGATATTTTTTAATG